CTGATATGTTGTCGAAATATTCAGTATATAAATCGTCGGCGTTTTTGACACATGTGTGGTTGGCGCTGTTAATTTATTAATAAAGATAAGATTCTCTGGCAGATAAGTTCAGTTTGCTTTTATTGTGATACTTACTACTTCTTTCTCCGCCAACTATTTATTCTTGTATTGTGTTGGGATGTGGGTGTTGGTCTATGGTTCCTCTAGAACTCGTACTCACAAGCACACCTCTGAAAAAAACGAATTCATCCAAATATGGTAGTATATAATAGAGCATTATTACTGTAAAGTGCCGTTATATATTCATACATTTTGAATGACATCTAGTCTTCCAAAACATACAACTTTGCTTAAGTTTTAAATTGTATGTTAATGTATAGAAAGTGGTCTAAAATATATTTTTACTAGCAAGAAATCCGTGGCTGCACTCCGGTGTGTTCAATTCTAACGCTTTTGCTCCTTATCCCGGATGAAAGAATAGGAGTGATCCTTTAGTCTTAATATAAAAGTGCAAGTTTTTATCATTTCGATAAATTATTGTTCTAGCTGTTGGTCAGTGCAAACATTGCTTTATATATCCTGTCCATGAAATGTTTGAGGGCGTTCTAGAGACTTCCAGAAGTGTTTGACCTTTGACCTTTAAACTTTGAGCAGGCAAGATAAAACCTAATAGAAAATTTCATAAGTTTTTAAAAAGTTTCAGAACTTTCTAGATTCCTGGTTACTTCAACATCGTTCGAGAAAGATCTAGAACGTTTTAGAATATTTGACCTTTAATCTTCCACCTGGAACCGACGCACAGACACACAGACACTGTAAATTATTATAGTAGTATGATATTTTCATGAATATGCTTTATTTAATAGAGTTTACCGTGTCTATAGATAGAACACTCCATGAGCTACGCATAAGTAAAAACGATAATGCAGCAGCGCTCCTTGTTGTTTTTAAATAAAACCCATTCCGAAACTTTTTCAGAGTATAGATGTGGGTCTAGATCAACGATGGATCAACATTCATGCCAACACACTCACACCCAACCGTTGCAGAGTCTTAGCGCCTAAGTTGTTAGCTATTCAATCAGGAAGACCTTCGCTACAGAAGAATCGTGATAAGATATTCTGATGGCAATCGAGTAAAACATGGATTCCTTTGTTCTATTCCTTCTAACTTTGATCTGTTTTATAAGATATTTTGGGTGTGGGTGTAGACATGAATCTGACTCACAACCACACCCCAGCTATAGAAGATTACCAAGTGCTTTGTACACGTGTTATCGACAATCCATCTTTACACATTTTGATGCAAACAAATCAAAAGATAGAAACACAACACTACAAACTTATGCGACAGTCATACAAGAGTACCTGTGAGACGTTCATATATTTATCGACATAATCTTTTAGACAAAGGCTAATAATAAGCTTTTTCTCTGAGTATTGTCATCTAGTGTATGTGGTCCAAATATGAGATCGAACTATGGATCTGTAAAGAAAACAAAGTTGAAAAGAAGTCCCTGTTATGTTACTTTTGGGCTACTCTATATTGACATGTGCAAGTACATAGATTCTAGTACAGTTGATAGATAAGTATGATTATCAGTAAGGAACATCGTGAAAAAAATGGATAATATGCAAAATTACATTATATCTTTTTTAAACTCAATCTAAACCAAATCGAATTGAATCAAATACAAGTCTGATCCAATCGAATCAAATCAATTTAGAATTTTAAGCAAGCAGAATGAATCGAATCGAACTGAATATTTTCTATTCGTTTCGATTTCTGTCTCCTTATTATTTTCCTATAATTATTTTTTAGTAAATAATAAGGTAGAAAAACAAATATAATGGGAAAAAAATAAACCTAACCATACACATATATTTTTGATTGTTTTTGAATATAAGAATAATCTTCAAATTTTTCTTCCAAAATTTTTTTTAATTGATCACTAATACAATTTTCGACTTTAAATAATATATGATGAATTCTAGTATTGCAATTGATAACACATGGTTCAAAAATAGATCGAAGACGACTTTCATTTTTATTACCATTTCATTTTCACATCTATGAATGTGTTGCATTAAACATTCGTGTACATATTGCATTTAAATCTAGTTATTATTTATTTGATATTTCATTTTTTCATAATAATATTATGTGTTGTTAATTACTAGAGCAACAAGTAGATTTCCTTGCAAAACTCTCTTTACTTAATGCATATATATTATCTTTACAAATAAATATACAACTGTTATGCAAGTATTTCCTAATTATAATCTATGTCACTGAGTCAATAATATTGTAGAAAAATAAACTGGTCAAAACTAAATATTATTTCTATATATCTATTTAGAATTAATCAATGATTATATATCTGTTGACACCAAAGACGAAAATATTTATGAGAAGAAATATATGATAGATACAAAATAGAAAAAAAAATGAGGACAAACTTCTGCAATATCAATGGCCTAGGAATGACCTTTCCAAGATGTGACCATTCACTTGTTCAAGCATGCTTAAGGCTCAAACGGTATAAGACACGAAATCGTGGTTTGCCCGATTTTACTATACGAACAAATATCAACTCATTCAGTTCGATGATAGTGATGGTACAATTCTTTTTCTTTCTTCGCTGACATATAAATGAAGCACATCTTTGTATTGCATCATTTTCGTTATTTCATTAATAACCTCGTAAACAAACGAATAAGTATTTCAATAAATATTTTTGATTGAATCAATCAATCTTTAAGTGTAAATATGAGTCTTTTTCTGGGTCTGATTACTATCGAAGAGAAGAATTATCCATCCATTCTTTTATCTATATGTTTCTTGCTTCTTACTTCTCTGCATCGATCAACCACTACATTCATAGCACAATAAAGATCGATATTTAAAAAAATATTCCACTCAGCATAAAATTTTTGATACTTGATGAGACATGTCACTATTTGCTTTTCAGTTTTCAATAAAACCAAAAAATCACTGTCTTAACAAGTCTTACAAATCACCACGAACAATAATTCAGAATAAGGATTCGAGTAGAATAATTAAAGAGACATTCTATTTTATCATAAAATGTTGATTAGATATGAGTGTTTATTGCACTTCTTAAAATAAAAGGAAAGGTCATATATTTTATTAGTAAAGAAAAACATTTGCGATATTTTACCAAAGATTCTTGTTTGCTAAATAACTCATTCATTAGACTTAATCGAATATGCACTGCTATGATCAATAAATTTCTCTTCGATTATATTAAAAACTTTCGAGCAACATCAAACACATATAATTAACTACAAATGACTTAATGTATTAGAACACGCTGTTGCCGTTATCGCCATGCTTTCCTATCGAAGGCCAAATATATCTCCAAAAAGTTGTATACATATGACCTACCTCAAAAAAAGCTGATTTTCTTTTTATAAAATCGAAAAGAAAGGAAGTGAGTTTGAATGTGTAACTTGCTTACCTATGGATGACTCAGATTCGATACAGATTAGTAATCGAAAAGCATTCTTATTGAGTCATTTGCATTTGCCAATATTACTCATCTAGCCATAAAAATAAGTTTTTTCCTTCATGCAAACGTTGACATAACATCAAACACAATTCATTGTGCGTCAGCAGTCAGGCGACTGTTTTTTTTCTTTTCTTGTTTTTTTCAGTTATGTTGGCAAAATCAACAAATTTCGGATAAAACCATGAGAAAATACTCGTCTTGCTCATCGTTATTACAACGAATTCGTGATCAACATCTTCGAGATGCTTGGAATACGCAAATTGAATATATTCAAAAGGCATGGATCAGTTTATTCTTTTATTTTGTTGTACTGTTGATATTCCAATGTCATAATCGAGTATACAATGCATGGGAAGGTCCATTTCCAATGGATCTCTATCAATTTCGAAATCATTTAAATATGAACTATAACTTGTTCGGTTTTAAATCATTTTTTTCATTTCGTTGGTTTCTTTTTCAACCTGAATATATTCAAATTGAATTGGGTAAAAATGTAATTGATCAAAGTATCGAGAATACATTTCGAGTGTTTTACGGTCATTATTCATACGAAAAATTATTATATACATTTAATCGAGTCGTAGAACCAATGATTGATACATCACACATGCCATTGTTTATTAAATTTTATGCATATAAACAATCATATCCTCAAATACATTATCCATATCGTTTTCAATCACTTAATATCAATACACTACGATGTATTGGCAAACAACTTGGAATTTCGTCAAGAGAATTCATACATTGGTCCGAAAAATCAATCTGTAGTGAAAAGATTGAACAAATCTATAAACAAAATCCAAGTGTATTCAACATTAAAGCAATCTCAAAATGTGGTATTGTAATCGGATATCTCTATAGACCTACAAATGAATTTATATATCCAGGATATTCATATAAACAAGTTAAATTTAGCGATCATGTTCGAGTATTCGATGCTTCATGTTCCTATACTCCTTATATATCTTATGTTATAGTTAGTGTCTTCATATATCTTCTGTTCAAACATATTGCTTCTCTCATTCAATTCATCATTAATCTTTATTGCTTATCATCTCTAAGTTTACATCCTTCTATTCAGAAACAAATGGAAAACGCAAATATTGTCTCTTTGGAAAACCTAGACAATCTTCTGTTAAATACAACTTATGAGAATAATCATTGTGACCGTTTGTTTATAGTGCACGACAAATATCTCATCATGTTGATGATAGATCTGCACGAAAAATTAGAGGAAATTATTCGACGATTTTATGAAGATCCTCCATTCATTATTATTCCTATCGATATTATTAGTAACGTCAGATTGGATTACATTGTGCTTGAAAATAATAATCGCATTCAATACATTTATTTTCCTACACGTATATATAATAGTCGTTTCAATCCGGCTCATTGGTTACATCAACGATTGATGATTTTAAATTATCGATATCGATATAAGTATGTTCGAGTTGTTGCTTAAGTTGAGACAATGAAAAGATTTCGAATTTTTATGTCTTTTTCTAGTTGGGAACAACAAGAACAATTACGTTATGAACAAGAAACTCAACGCGCTCAAGGAGAAGAACAACGACGTCGTCTGGAACTTATCATTGAAGAAGAAGTTCAACATCAACAGCATGTCTATGGACACGACATCAATCGAATATTGCAAGGCATACGATCAGCATCGCCTCGTTTCATTGCACAATTTCGTTTGAATGGTTGGCAAATAGTCAGTCATGATCTCCTTGATTATAGATGTAGTATTTGTCTCGAAGATTTACAATTAAATCAACGTATTGCTCGATGGCCTTGTCAAGCTAGGCATACATTTCATTTCGATTGTATGTTAGATGTTTTACGAGCAGGAAATACATGTCCATTATGTCGACATCCTGTTGAAGCAGCAGATTTACCTAATGCAGAAGCTGTTGTTTGGCTCCTCTTAAGAACAATGATGCCTAATGCATCCACTTGAAAAATGCTATACTTTCCATCAATTTAACCATTTTTGTTTATATAACATTTTCAGTGCGTTTATTCTAATTAGGAATCCGTGAGACAGTCGAAAAATCGTTTTGCTACTGCTTCGTCTTGCCAAGGACTTAGTATAAAAATAGATGTCTTTTCATGCATTTTTTCAATCTTATGTAATAATTACTATTTCTTGTATTTCATAAGATCAAATAAATTAGTACATTTAATACATATAAATAGATTCAGAAAACAAAATAGTGAGCACGTCCACCATCATCAGGAAACAATAACAATAAAATAGAATATGAAAAACTATTACATGTATATAGATGCAACTAAATTTTTTATATATTCTCTCTCTTTATTCAATAACATTATCTTATTAGAAAAAAAACTTAATTAGATCTATACACATGTAATCATTCTCTAGATTTTATTTTTATTGCTTTCTGATAATCATGGGCACGCTCACCAAAAGTTTTTAAAAAAATTTCGCATTTTTATAAAATTTTGATGTATTTTGTGGCAATTATATATTCAATTATTTATTTAAATATTATTTATCCTCTTCTTCCATCTAGATATATATAAACTATAGTTATTCAAGAAGATGAGATAACTCATCAAAATTCATACCGTCTCGTACTCGCCGATTTGCGGACTTCTGATTCCAACTAATAAAATATTGTCAATCATAGTTACAATGACAAACAAAGGTTTGCATCTCGAGGTTTTTGCAGATATTTGAGGATAAAATTGAGAAAGAGCTCACATATCTTACATCAAATGGTATTTTTATTTCATCTCATTTAAAAGCCTTTTTTCGTTATCAATTTTTTCAATTGTTCATTGTTAAAACGGGTGATTGATCGAACCAATAAATACTGGACTACTACTTTATTTTGCAAACAGTCACTATATATACAAGTAAACGAGCTAGAAAAATTCCAAGGATCTTGGTAAAAACCATGAACGAAAGAGAGGAATATCTGAACAATATTATAAAACGTATGACAGTAGAATAGAGAAAAGAAATTAATATCAAACGTAAGTGAATCACTCAATAAATAAGGAGCAACTTTGTTTGTGAATTAGAAAAAATGAAGGAAAAATGGTTGTGTTGTGAGTTATCGTTTGGACAGGTCTATTTTTCTTAAAATTTTATGTAGAGCAGTGTTGCAATCAATAACAGTATACGATCGGTCCGGTTCAGTAGAGAATTCCGTACCGATTGGTATAGATGTTTTCAAGTTTTTATATATCAAACCAGTTTTACTGATTTCAATGACTATTCCTATAAAGAAACAGGCATTAGAATATTTCTATTAAGCGAATATTCATCAAAATATCCCTAATATATTTTATCAAGTCACTTCTATATCAAGTTATATTATCGAGCCAAAATGAAATTATTATTCATCATTGTAATTTATTATATATTTATTTTCATTTTGTATTATTTATATCATATTTTTTCTAGAGCTAAAAGAAATAACGAAATATTTCTACGTATGGTGAACATTTCATTAGTGTATAAAGCTAATATAGAATTTGTTTAATCACTACAGAATTCAAATATTAAACACGATGAAACTACTTTAATTGTTGTGAAAACCCAAGTAGGAAAAGCCGAAAACTCCATACTTCAGTGTACTCCAAGATTTTGGCTAATCCTTGAAGTATGCTAAAGTATGGAATTTTCACTTGTATCCCGTTGGGGAACCTCATCATCTACATGACACAGCCAAAAAACCGGCGTGTCGAAAAACCCATTAGGCCGTTACAGACATATCGAAATCTTTGTCACAGTCTTCTCGAAATGTAGACAACTAATGAAAATAACTAATGTGAAAAATGATTGATTTGAAATAAACTTAGACACTTTAGAGTTAAAGGGTATGTTTGGATATTAGAAAGGAACACTGATAAGAACAAAATTGTTTTTACAAAATAGTTGATAAAAGTAATTCTAAAAATATTTGATTTGAAGAATTAATTGACAAATATCAAATAAATTTAATTATTAAGTTAAATGATGAAAAAATAAATGGTCATGATATCGAAATTATTATTAATATAGATTTAATTAATAAACAATGTTAATCATTTATTTAATGAAATAATCATTTAACATCATAGTCAATATCGAGATTATCTTCTTCCATTAGTATAAATACAATATCAAAGAAGTTGAGTATTTCAAAGAATCATTTATCTGATATAACTATAAAATATTTATCAGAATCATTTTCATTTAAAAATTCAACATTAAAAAAAAATTAGTTCTTTCTTCAAATGAAATTACAGATGACGGTCTTATTTATTTATCAGATATGTTATAAACAAATGAAACCTTAATAATAGTTGGATTACAAGATAATAAAAAAACTGAAAGTTATTCAATATAAAAATAAATTTATTGAAGAAATATCTTTATATTTAAATAAATTATTAACTGATCTAAGTATTGATTATATTGTTAATATGATTAGAAATAATCACTCATTAAAACATATTTTGGATATGGGATTATCAATTATCTGAACAAGGAAAATGTAAGCTTCAACAATCTATTCAATCAAACATCAATCAATTAGACTTTATTTTATTCAATACATTTTTGTTTGTTATTTTGCTACATATTAATCAAATCTGAAGTTTCATTCGTTATTGCCCAAGATGATTGAAATACAAAAAAAAAAAAAGGATTCACAGGATATTTTTATTATTAACCATTGAAGTCGAAACTTCACATTTCAAAATTCCAATAAGTTCAAATTTAACTTTTACGATTCTGATTGATTGCTTCAAATATAGTTTTGATCTATTCAAATTGTCTATACTTATGTTACATAAGAAGAAAAAGGATGGTACATCATCTTGTGCCGTATTAAACTTATTTGCTTAACAATCAAAATGTTCTCCTTTATAATATCAAACCATTTTATTTTACTGTATGAAAATTTTCTTTAAGAAACCTTATTTCTTAAAATAATATACCTTGAAAATTATTATTTGACCACGCTTTTCTTCTCTAATTCTATGAGAAAATAGTTTAGTAATTTAGGATCATTATGAAGCGAGAAGAATTTCTATTGTTTTTTAACATCATAATATTTGCAACAGATCAATTATTATATAAATATATATAAAAGTATAAAATAAAAGGAAAATAAAAATTATAATTCTATCATAGATAACAACCGAAAAGAAACTAACAATACGAAAGAATATCGGTCGGAATTTGGTGTAGAAAGGAAAGAATTTGTCATTGTTGCTTATTTGGAAAAGAAAACACATTTTCTTTCTTAGTTTCATAAATTATTTCATGATTTGGTGTCTTATAACTCAAATATTCTATATGTGATATAAGAATAATGTATAGGAATTTAAAAAAACCTATGATGAATACATTTGAACTCTAGATGCACTTCTATGAAACAGTTTAACTGTTGTTTAGTAGCCTTCAAATTTCTGAACTCTGTTTTTGAATGCATCTGCCATATATAAATTACGATTATTGTCAAAGATGGTCCAACATGCTCTTCTCAATTAGTTAGGACTGGTACCAGACAAGTCTTAAGTCTGGCAATGGTTGTACCATTTGACTGATCAGTCAAGAAAAGTTGAATACGATTACTATTCGTATCAGCTAGATGCACGTTTCCCATGGAATCCTGAAAATATGTCGATGTACTACCAGTTGATTCAGTGATTCCACCAACAAGAGTCCAGCTAGTAGCACCCAATACCCAACGGACAACACTGTGAGAACCATAGTTTGCAATCAAAAAACTATTCGATGATGAATCTCATGCACAACTCAAAGGATAATTTAATTGATTGCTGTTGATTCCGTCAGTATTGCCACCAGCAATGACAGATATCTCATGATCTGATGGCTGGAGGTATCAGCGATGTAAAGTACACCTAAACTCAAAACCCATACAAGATAAGAAGGACTCGAGAATTGATTGTTTGCATTTCTGGCAGATTCTCAACAAAATTATATATGAGATTTCATAGGCATTCCAGCATAGTTTATAATAATTAAAAAGAAATATTTTTCAATCCTTGTTAGAGCTACACAATAGAATGACGCGATAAATTTCCGTTTAAATTATATCAAATGAAACAGAACGAGTATCACATAAAATTACGACATGATAATTTGCAAAAAATTGATAATCGGAAATGAAAATCTGATATTTCTCGAAGTCGTGCCACTGAGTTCTCATAGAGTCTTGAATAAATTTTGTTTATTCTAAATTTGTACTGCAACAAGATGTTTCAATAATTGCATTGAATTCACTTTCGTATTCGTCTAGGATGATCTGCATTATATTTGTATGAAACTTCTGATTTTTATTCATAGATATCTACCAAAATACTGGATGGCGTAGAAATTCATATTATGAAAGCATGTTGTAGTCGAGATATTTGAAGATCTCATTATTACGGGTAGTTTTGTGACTAATCGAGGATGATGTTGAAGATTTACCTCTGGTTAGTTTGAAAGCAGTCGAACATATTGTTTGTTTTGGTATGTCAGCGACCAATAACGGTTCATCATTTCTAGAATGATTTTAATAATCCATGTTTGAATTTGAGCACATTGTTACACTGCTACAAAGAACTCAAAATAGTGAGTGAATCGCATGACCAAGAAAAATATCATAAGTGTGCATGTAGTTGGAAGTAACAGAATTTGTTTTTCTTTCAGTATATCTATTATTTGTGAACTTGACTAGCCTTTCTATGTTGAGAAGTGCGAAAGTCTATATGTATTCTGCAACATCCTGGTAAAATTAAAATTTGAAGTTGGTTGGCCGAATAGATGCGAGTGTGAGTGAAAGGAAAACATACATCCTCAGCGACAGAGAATTATTCGCGTCTAGATTAACAATGCCGAATGAAACTCAATCTTGATCGTGTTCGATTGGCAAAAAGGAATTTATCTTTATCTATGAAAAGAATTTTCAAATTTCATATTGAGTTCAT